GTAAAAGCCCGAGGGTGCCTGTGGTGGCCCCTCCCGAGCGGTGGCCTGGATGCGGCGGGGACAAAACCCCTGTTTGTAATGGTGCCTTCATCAAAGGCAGAGACGCAGAGACGGTGCCTTGCAGGATACCGGAGGGGGTGGGGGATTCATTACAGGCACAAGAGCTGGGACCCAGCCTTGGAAAAGCCCAGGTATCTGTCGAAACATGAACCATTTAAATCTATTAAGAATTTCACCCAGCCTGTCTTTATCCGGTTTTAAGTGCTTAGATTCCAGCTCCCCGGCGTGCCGTCCGGGCTATCATTCATTATCTGAGGCTATTCGTCTCCACATTGTCACACTCTTTTGACCCCTAAAATAAAGCTCTCCATAAGCCTTTCCCCTCCCGGTCCCCCGCCTGCCCGCCAGTGATTTATTCCGCGGCTCCATCTCCTTCACTAGCCCTGGCTCCAGGGGTGCAGGGCAAAAGGGGGGGGGGGCTTGGTGGGTATAAATCATGCCGTTATGGATGGTTTTATGCCAGCTGAGAGTTTGGCCCTGGAGCCCGAGCACTGTGTTTATTGCCGGGGAAGGGGTTAACGCGGGTCTGAGAGGGGCTTGCCTTGTTTTTTTGATAGAGGAGGGGAGAGCCCTGGCCGGGGCAGGGTGCATGCTGAGCGTCCCCCTGCTCCCCACCACCCCCCTTGGGGTAGGTGTGCCATCCCAGGGCACGGTCCATCCTGCTGGTTTTCCCCTGGCTAATTCCTAGACTGTTGCTCCACACACAAGGCTGTCCCTTCAGCTCTCCGCGCTTTCTCTGCCCCATCCTTACTATCCACCCAGTAAGCCCTCACTCCCAAGCTTGTGCCCCACATTCCATCTCCCGGGACATCAATACCACCCAGCCCATGGCTGGAGAGGGCAGGGGTGAAGCGGGAGCTCTCTTTGCCTTCAATTTGGGGGCAGGTGGATGGCACTGGCAAAGGCAGGGTGCTGGGGTACCGCTGCCTCCCACCCTGGCTGCTCAGAGACGTGTCTCGCTGCCGAGCCCGGGTCCTGCTGGTGCCGTGACCATGCCGTGCATGCGCTGGCAGTGCCGGCTTGGGGAGATTAGCAGTATTTGGCAGAGGAGGGCAAGGGGGTCAAACTTGTTTTTTCTTCTCTTAAAAAAGAAGAAGAAAAGGAACCTTTAATTTAAGAATAATAACCCAGCTGCACGCAGTGCAGCCGAATGCTCCAGGCAGTGGAGCGGCCACAGGGGGATCACCAGCACGCACTCTGCTTCGCTCTGGATCCCGGAGCCGGTGAGCCGGGAGGAGGTGATGTGTGGATGAGGCCACCAGCACCACCAAACGGATGTGCCGGGCTTCCCGGGACGGGGCACTGGAGCAGCTGGCTGATTCATGAGCTGCTTCCCCCAGAGCTTGAGATCTCTGGCCCCTGGCTGAGATCATCCCTCATTTCCAGGGAGCTCTTCCCGTGTGGGGGAGAGAGGTCCAGGCGCTGCCCGGCCCTTTGAGCCAGCTCAAGACGGGCATCTTCCCACGTGCCTGCTCCGGGTACCCGTCCCCTCTCCCAGGTCTGGGCAGCACTGGTGTCTGTGGGTTTTGCTTTTGCTGAGGAGGGTGTTCAGGGCTACAGCCGTGTGTTGTGCCAGGGCTCCTGGAAGCCCCAGGGCTGGTGGCATTGGTAGAGCTGTTCCTTACTCTCCCTGTCACCGACGCATAGGGACCTTGGTGGCACACCTTCACGTGTGCATCTCTGCACACTCAGCTGGGGCACTCATGGGGCATATTCCTCTGGGCAGGAAAGGAATGTCTTTACCCCCTGCTCCATCCCACCTCTGGGTGCGTTGGCTGTGCAGTGGGGGGGGATGCAAGGGCTGCCTGTTTGAAGCATTTTTTCCCACGCTGGTGACAAGTAAACTGATTTGTGAGAGTGGCACGGCAGGGCGCAGCGGGGCTGGGTCCCAGGGGGCATGGCCCCCAAGCCCAGGCACATAGCAGGGCTCGGCCGCTCACAGGTGGTAATGGCGCCAGTTGGGATCCTGGCAGACGGCTGCATCTACAGAGAAAGGTTCAGGTGTGATGTCTGAGCAGTGACATCATGCTGATGACATCATAGCCTGAGAAAGAGCATCTTCATTGTGGTGGGATGTCCTCAAAGGGCTCACGGAAGATACAGTCATCCTTGTCCTATACCCCCTGTGCCCCTGTGTCTAAGAAGAGGCAGAGGGACAGGGGGATGGGCAGACACATGGACCTTTCCGTGGCAGAGGGGAGCCAGCTATAGTCAGTGCCAATGGGGAAGATGTTTCATTCAGGTTCTGCTGGTCCCTTGGTTAGTGCCAGGCTGCAGGGAATAGGCTCCCCTTGTTCCCACCAGCCCTGTAAAATCTCTTTCTTCCTCCTCCCTTCATCTTTTCATGTTTCTCACCCGGCTCCTTGTGCAACAGCGATCCCTCCCCGAGCAAGACAGGTAGGGACCGCCTGGGGCTCCCGGGCTGGCCTGGAGGGTACAGGGATATGGGGCAGGCAAACCTGGTGTCTCAGGAGCCCCGGGCAGGCTCAGGGCAGGATTTCAGCTGAGCCGGTTTGTGGTTGGGCTGTGCTCGCAGGGATGGAGGCACCATGAGGATGGGGGCGAGCAAAGCCAGGCTTCCCCAGTGCACATCGGCTCTCCATGGGCATGGCCGAGAGCAGTCGGGAGGTGGAAGAGAGAGCAAGGGGGAAAACCATCCCAGGTGAGATGTTCTTCGCTCCAGCTGCGGGTCTGAGGGGCCCCGGAGGGACAGACACCTGCCCTGCATCCCCTTCCCACGCATGTCCACAGGCAGTGCATCTGCAGCTCTCTGTACAGCTCCTCCAGATGCTGGCTCAGGGAGGACCCGTCCGCTGGCAACCGTGGCTGCATCCCTGCCCGAGGGGGTCCCGGCCCCGTGCCCTCCGAAGCCTCACACCCCCGCGTTTCATGTGCCGATGGCCTCCCCTTCTCCTCCGCCGCCCCAACCAGCACCCACACTGTGCGGAACCTGTAAGGGCAGGCTGCTGGGCTGTAGGGCCCTGCCTGTGTGCCTTGGGGTGAGCATTGTGAGTGACCCCCCGGGCCTGCTGACCCATGCCCACCACCCCACAGCCCACAGCCCCCCATGGTGCCCGGCAGACTGGGCTGCCTGGCTGTCCTGGGCATGCCCTCGCCCCCAGAGCAGTGCTGTGTGGGCAGCAACGCACCTCCCAGCGTGGGACCCCCTGCCCAGCAGCATCTCCCTGTGCCCCTTCTGGAGCAGCCTCTGACCAGCTGGGTTTTTCAAAGGGAAAATGTTTCCCTTGTGCTCTTTGAGATGGCACCGGCTCCAGAATTGGGCTACTTGTGTCTTCCCCCAAAGACAACCGAGCTTTCCCCCATGCCATCCCTCGACCCTACTCCTGGTCACCTCCACTCTCCCATGGTGACCCCCAGCCTGCCCAGGCCTGCCCTGCGTGTGCCCCAGGCTGGAGGGCTCGGCAGGGCTTTGCATCAGAGCTTGACCCCTTCAAATCCCTCCCTGTGCAGGAGGGTGCTGGGCAGAGCTGGGCACACCTCGATATTCACTCAGGTGGGGTCACGGATGTACAGGGTCCTGTCACCACACGTGGCACCCATACTTGGCCGTACACTGGCCCAGTCCTCATGCCACCCCAGGTCCAGCCTCCACGAGCACCTGGAGGAAGGACACAGTGACCAGGGGTGGGTGGACCCCTTTCTTCTCAACCCAGCCCCTCCAGGGCTTGGACAT